ATGAAGACGACTTTTTGAAAGTTTGCTGAAAAAATAAATTAAATATTAAAAAAAAATCTAAAACCATGGGACGAAGATATGTTTGGATTATTATAAGAACCATTACGGTGTGTTTTAGTCGAGCACCAAAGGTGATGCCAAGCTATTGACATGTATAAAACGTATACGTGAAAATTTGTATTCTTGACTTGAATAAATAATTAATAAATCACTACATAACAACGTACATGCATGGCCTTGATATACTGTATACATGACCACGTAATTTTTTGTTGTCTTTTTTTTTTAGGAACTTAATAAAACATTTTCAAAATTTCAAGTAAACATTGAAATAAAGGGGGAAAACTATTACAATATACCCTTGAAAGTTAGGACTTGTTTGATTTGTAACTCTGAAAATCGTTTTTAAGAAATTGAAAAATAAAATACTATATTCAAAAAACTATACCTGTTTGGTTTGCAACTTGATAATAATTTTCTGTTATCAGAAAATTAAAAACAGAAAACCCTATAAAAAACTCTACTTGGTTTAGATTTCTGAAAATTCAGTTATAAAAAAATATATTTTTAGATAACGGTCTTTTTTAAGTATTTGAAAACAGTTTTCTATTATCTGAATTCTTAATAACTGTTTTCAGAATTACAAACTAAGCATACGTACCCAAAAGATAGTTATTTGAAAAAAAATATTTTTACAACCTAGCTAGTTTTAGAAAATAATTTTCAGAAAACTGAATCAAGCATATATATATATATATTTTATATAATTTTTTATTTTCAAACCGAGTAGGTCCTTAAATATGTATTTGTAATTATTCCTTAAATAAGTACAATTTTTTTTGTATGTATTTGTAATTATTCCTTATATAAGTACAAATTGAATAAATTTATAAGAGTTCAATTTTATTAGTCTCTTCTTTATTGAAAAACATGGGAAGGGATCACCAATAGCCATAACCACCAGTATGATTCTTGTTAATGGAAGGAGGTAGAGAGAGATTTGGTACAGTAATCTTTCATGTTATTATGACAAATTAATCCCTTTTTTTTTTTTTTTTCATTCTATGAGATCTCTAAATAGTTTTTCATTTAATTGAAGAAAAATGATAAAATTATTGAATAATTTTTCCGAATAAATCTCGAATCTGACTAAAAAAATTCGGAATTCAAGAATGATCTCAAATAAGACAGTGAGAAAAAACTTTCGAATCAGGGTACGCAATGCTCTACTCTGTAATATTATGGAGAAAAGAATATTCGAAAATTTCTTTTCGGTCCCTGTCATTACGGTGCCGTGGTTGGACGGCTGACGTGTCAGTTTGATGTAAGAGTGGAAGACCATTATGATATCGCAGTAAACTTTCAATGGCAAAAAGTCAAGCCCATCATCTTTTTACTCTCCCTACCTTAATATTCATATGTATACTGTATACATATACATATTAATATATATATATATATATGTGTGTGTGTGTGCGCCCACTGCACTTACATATATAAATTTATAAACCTCAGATTGACCATTTGATCGATCACAAGTCTCCTTTAGATCTGTCTCCGTCCATCCCACTAACTAATCATCGCCGGATTCTGAGACACTGCTAATTCCATGATACTGGCATGGTTTTGGAAGATGATTACATACAAGTATGAATTTGATAATTTTGATCATGATCATCAACGGTTGGGTACTACTGTATCATCAGAGTCTCGGGAGTATCAACGGTTGGTAGGGAGTTACTACATAATGTTGATGAGGTTCTTCAGTGTGAGAGCAGTCCTTGCGATGGTGATGGTGGGCTTGACGGCGTCGCTTCTGGTATTGCCGGTGGTCCTGCCGCCGCTTCCTCCGCCGCCGTTGATCTTTCTATCCGTTCCCGTTCTGATCATGCTTTTCTTGATACTTTTGGCCTTTTCACCTTATTCACAACAACTACCCAACGGTGCAATTACTACTTCTGTCTGAGTATGTTATGATCGATCATCCAATTATATATATATATATATATATATATATATATATATATATGTGCCAGAAGCTGATAGAAATTAAGCATACTTGTCCAAACAAGCTCTGAAAGGCACCCGATCATGTATTGGAGCTGTTTCTCTCTCTAGCTAGAATGGTTAAATATTCTTTCTGTCTCTCGATCACTTCGATCCGATGAATTCAACGTTTGTACGTCAGTTCTCTCTCGTCTTTATTTTGGATTAACTGCTCCGACGACCATTGTATGTCAAAAATTTTAATTTACCTTTTTTCTTTCATAATATATATGTTTGTTACATTTTGTACAACGAAGGAGATTAATTCAAGAAGTTTTTGGTTAATTGACATTGATATATATAGCTAGATCATCCAGCTTTTATGCAAATGATAGGAATTTTATTTTGTTCTTATAAGAACCATTAATTTGAACTAGGAAAAAAACAACAATTCATTTATTACACATCACTAGCAGTACTCTTCTCCATCGTGAAGTGAAGCAGAAGAAGATGAATAATTAATAATGAAGATCCAGGATATTAGGACTGTGTTAATATTAAGTACGTGTGTATATATATATATCTATATCTATATATTCATGCTTACAGGTCGAGAATGGCATGGATGCTGAAACCATGGATTTATGAAGAAAAACTGTACATCTCTGGCCTAGCTAGATTAATTGTACGTAATAATTAAAGACAACTTCACACTGACAACGTCACGCAATGGCTTTGGAAGTTAGTTTCATATTTTGTTTAGTATATTATTATTATTATTATATATCCGAGATTTTCTTTCTTATTTTCAACCTGGAGACACGTGGTGTGTACTATGTTTGAACCTTGTTTTTCCAAAACAAGAAGGAAAAAAAAAAAGAAGGATAATTTTGCTGTGGGCGATAGATACATCTGTATCTATATACATTAGTAGTATCCAAAACTGGTTTTCCGCATTGGAGGGCCAAATGCAAGTTGATTACGCAAAGGAAAATTGAAGTTTCCTCTTTCACGACTGTAGAGTCATTTTCATGTGCGTTGCGTTTAATGGTATATTCTTAAGTTCGGACGTTGTATTTTATACTAAAAGTGCAATCTATCCCTTTTTTATGCTTTGTCCAATGCAGAAGGGAAGGTGAAAATTAAATGTAATAGAGGGAAAAAGAGATAGATGAGACGACCTTGACAAAGATATTGCAACATTTAGGAGTAGCAAAAATTTTTAATCCGGTGGGGAACCGTCCTGCCCCCGTTCCATTTAAAACGGATTTGGAGAACCATTTACTTAAATGGGGTAGGGATGGAGGTTAAAAAAAAAAACCGACCGGTTGCGGGGCGGGGGCGGGGGCGGGGGCGGGGGACTAAGATCCCTGCCCCATACCCGCCCCGTTTAATATTTTAAATTATTAATTTATCCTACCATGTTAATATATTTACCAAATTAACCTTCACTCTCTCTCTCTATATATATATTGGAAACCCTACACTTAACACTTCCATTTATATATATATATGTGTGTGCGCGCGCGCGCGCGTGCTATGATTGTGTTTAAATAAAAATATAATCGGTTATGGGGCGGGTAATGGGGCGGGGGCGGGGGCGGGGCAAGTGGGGCAGGGCGGGGGCAGTTATGGGGATTAGAGGCAAAAAATTAATTGGTTATGGGGCGGTTTTGGGGGCACCAAAATTAAACGGTGGCGGGGATGGGGAATGGGAAACCCGCCCCAAACCGCCCCATTGCCATCCCTAGCGACATTCTCCCATTTGATAAAAGAAGAAAATAAAGTTTGCAACTTACCAACTTCATTAGAAAGTGTTTTGAATTGCTTTTACAAAATGACTCATCCATCGTATTATCTTTTCTCTCTTTGTCACCTCTTTAGCGAATGAATGAAATTTGTTTCTTCTTTTCTGTTTGTCCCTCGTCCCTTTTGCAGAAGGAAAGATAATTAACATCAACATAATTAAAGCCCATTCCTTTAGGTATTCGGGATTTCTTAAAAAAAAAATGCATTTTTTTTTAGACAATTTGATCCCTCTTCATTTTTATGCATTTTTTTTTTTAGACAATTTGATCCCTCTTCATTTTTATATATTTTTTAAAATACAATTTATCTCTTGCCAATATGTATGTCACTATTTTTGTCGTATCTAATAACATATACGAGCTCGCCTTGGGAAAGTCGGTTTGTACCAACTAAGCTATTGCTCATTTGTTCATTGTTATTAATATATGAGTAATATAGTAAGTTAGGGTCTATGTTTTGTTTTCGGGGATTTGCTTTAATCTAAAATAAATTAGGTGTTATGTTGTAGTGTTTTGAATAGTAATTGGAAGAATATTTGGTAACCTTCATTTGTTGCAAAATTTTAGAAGCAAAAATATGAAAATATATTTGGTAAACATGTGTTGCAAGTCTAAAAAATACAATGGTTAGTTTTAAAATTTCATTTAAAAGTTTTTTTATGAAAAAAAAAAAAAAAAAAGTACTGTTCACAAGTACCAAATGCTGCATTGCCGAAACTTATATTTTTGGTCATTGCTTGGATTCCATTTATAAAAACAGTTGTCAAGAATAGTTTTCCGAGAATCAGAACAGAAAATAATTATCAGTTTTTCAACCTGTTTGGTTGGGAAAATTACCAAACAGTTTTTGGACTGTTTGGAGAACAAAAACTCATAAAACTGATTGGTAAATTAATTTTACGAAAATAAAGAATATTGCATATCACTCATTATTTTTTATTTATTTCTTAGATTTATTATAAAAATTAGATGTGGTTTACTCTTAAATATTTTCTAATTAACAAAAAATGCACTAAAAATGAAAAAAGACTTGTATCATGGGGCTCCTTTCATTCATAAGATTACATGAATTCAATGTCTACATACATAAACCATCTCATCATAGGAATTGTGTAGCAAAGAACTGCTCTTGTATTCTGGGTTCCTTTCATTCATAACATTACATCAATTCAATGTCTACATACATAAACCATCTCATCATAGGAATTGTGTAGCAAAGAACTGCTCTTGTATTCTGGGTTTCATTCATTCATAACATTACATCAATTCAATGTCTACATACATAAACCATCTCACTTCTCATCTAAACTTAAAAGACATGGAAAAAAATGAAATATGTGATTCTACTTGGATGAACATCTAGATCAAATTTGGATGAACATCACTTGTAAAGGTATGTGATTCTATCCCATGAGACTTTGCTTCATAGAAGTTGACCGCATTCGGTCCTTGACTTGTGCTGTCATTCCCCTCACCAACAACATCATCTCCTTCTTCATACTCCATAAAAAATGTAACCAACTAGTGCATTTTGACCAATAAAATTATGAATCGTGCAACAAGGGTTACCTACAATTATAATAATAATAATAAAAAATTTAGTTGATTTCATTAGACAAAATAAATCAAAGACAATAATGTATAAATACTTTATATACTTTGTACAAGACTTAGAAGAGTTTATGTAGAAGTAGAGAATTAAGATCACATAGGAAAAATAAAGAGAGGCATCTAGAATTATCTAGATAAATTTATTTAATTCAAACCCTATTACAATTATTGGTAAGAATGTCAAGAAAAAAAGAATGCTACAATTAGCTATTTAATATACAGTCTAAATTAAAGTAAATCTATTTAATATTCAATCTAAATTAGCTATTATACAAGAACAGAATCAACTCTCCACAGTTTGATTCTCTCACTGCCCTCCTCACAATTCAATCTTCAGACTCAACTTCGCGAATACTAGGATCCTCAGGAGACAATTAAATATGCAATCCACTCATCAATGGTCTTACCTTTTTTTTCCTCATCAATGGTCTTACAGTCCAAATCCGCAGATAGATTGTGAAGGGGATGGTGTATATGACCCAATGTAGCATGAACCTCTTGCAAGCAAATATCACACACACATTTAACACATGTACATGTGTGTATATATATATATATATATTCACAAGTTCTCTGTTCACAAGAAAAAAAAAAATTCATAGTTATCTGTTTATGGGTTTTCCAAACAGGGAACAAAAAAAAAAAAAAAAAATTAAAGACAGATCCCTAATTCGTTTTTTGAATGGACTGCATCTATTTTAAAAGACAAAGGCCAAGCACATACAATATATATATATATATATATATATATGAAAATAAAAAGAGAAACCCCATCAACAACAAAATGGAAAACAAGAAAACCAAAATCCAGCCACAACCAAAGCAAATTCAGCCAACAAAATCGACAATAAAACTAGAGACAAAAAAAAAAAAAAAGCAAATCAAAGTTATTTTACCAGATCGATAACAAGAGTAGAGTGAATCTTAAAGATGGTGTATTTTTTAGGGCTTTGTTCGAGAAACAGCGATTGAAGATTACCTGAAGGGATTCTTGATCTACTGATGAGGCGAGAGAGTAGATGCTAAAGAATGATGATGAGTCTGTGAGTCAGTTGAGAAAGAGCGAGTCGTCAGGTCTATCAGAGAGGAGAGAGAGGGTTGATGAAGGATGAGTGTTTTAAACGAACGCGAAAGTACCATCATTTTTTAAGTCGAGGGCGTTCTCCGTGTTTTCTAAAAAATGAGAACTGAGTTTCCAAAACTCTCAGAACACCTAAAAGTTGTTCTCCAAAAACTGATACTATGAGTTCTCAGTTTTTTAAAAACCGTTCTATGAAAACAGATCCAAGTAGAACAAAAATTGGTTTTCTGAATTTTGGGAACTCCCAGAACAGTACCAATCCAAGCAGAGTTATAGTTCTCTGAAAGCAGACATTTTTATAATTGAGTTTTCATAAAACAGTTTTCTGAAAACTGAACCAAGCAGAGATTTTTTTACAGTTTTCTGAGAACAAAAAATTATTTTCATAATTACAAACCAAACAAGCCCTTAACTTCCTTGCATTCTTGTATCAGTATATGATATATGGCCCTTTTTCTGGTTATCAAAATGTGTCTGCTTCATGCTTAGTTTGCTTCGTGTTGAGAAAAGAAAGCTAAAAGATTCTAAAATTTACATATTTTCTGGTTATCACAATGTGTATCCTTCAACCAAATCGAAGGCCTGATATTATTATTTGGAGATTCTAGATATATTATCTTAATTCTCATTTTTTTTTAAATAAAAAATAAAAATTAAAGTATTTACAATTGGTAGGTGTAAGTAAGCAGTTTTATGTAGATCCAAATTTTTCCTACTTTTTGTGGTTAATTTATCTTCTCCGCTATCTCATGTTTCTTTCTATATGAAAATTTTCAATTCACATCTCCATTGTCCTATTCGAGTATAACAGAAATACTCAACATAGTAGATGTAAGGGGGGTGTATTTGTGTTTGTCCACCTACCTACAATTATAAAAACACCACCCACCTACCATGAATATTCAAAACCACCTACCTACCAATTATAAAAACAAAATGCCGTTGAAACAAGGGTTCAAGTAATTGTCCCAGAATAGCTAGCCACCATGGATGAACGATCATCTTATTAAACTTGGGTGACCCGTATTCGACCTGCACACACCCAACCCATGTAAGCAGTGGCATCCTAACCCAGTATTCTCAACATGATTTGCACTCAATACACCTACAACCATAACTTAAATTGAATTATTAGTATTTTTATTTAAGTCAGTATTTTTCAAAATTTATAGTGCCAACAATAACTTAAATTGAATTATAAGTATAATGCACACACACACACACACATGTAAGTTTTGACAATCATGGTACAATGGTAATAGAACTAGACATCAATTCCTTTTTTAATTATATGGTTAAAGGTACCATGTCTGTGTTAGTTTTTTTCACCACTTAACCACTGCTTAGAAGAAACAAATCATTCTAGTGCACAAGTCCTTTGCAAATGATGTAACAGCATAATTAAGGGTATGCACTTAACATATAGTGGTGATTTTTTATATCATTATTCCCAAATTTAGTCAACTATATATGTATTACATACGAGCGCTCTATGCACAGATGCTTCAGAGGGAGTTGTTTGGAGAAGGTAGAGAAGAATAAAAGAATGGAATGAGTGAGTGAGAAGGGAAAAGTGTGGGTGTAAAAGTAGAGAGATGTAGCCTTATAGAAAGTGGGTTTGCTCTTGGTCCTGAAAGAGTGGGTTTGTTATGAACCCAAAAAGAGCCTTGGAGTTAGATGAGTGATTTCTTATGAGGTAGAAAAACTGTATTCTCTACAATTGTAATATCTCTTCTCTTCATTAATGAATAGTGGAATCTCTTCTCTCTGTAGACGACGTAGGTAGAGAGTTCGGCTGGACCACATAAAAAATTGGAGTGCAACACAAGAATAATGATTCGTTAAGATAATGTTGGATATTTCGATGAAGTCAATTTTTTTTTTTTTTTACGAACCAAAAGATATATTTATCTAAACATCAAGCATTGTCTTAGACTTCAATGATCTTTCGTGGTATTTAAGAAAAAATTGTATATCCGATCTTCTAAAATATAGTTGAATTTCAAAAGTGAGGAAGTTCAAACCATGTTTTGAAACTTAGGAGCCTAGTTGCAATCACTACACTATGCATGAAATAGCTTGGTAGGAAAAGAACTAATAGCACTATCTTATTCTCATTTACTATAACAAAATCTGTGGCCTCTTTCAAGATAGTTGTTAAATAAAAGAAGAAACAAAAGGAATGAAAATCACCCTTTCAAGGTTTTCTTAGTTTTCTCCATTAATGAACAATAATGAGACAAAGATTATTTTCCTCTTGATGATTTATACAGAGAAGAAAAATATAAGCAAATCAGAAGACATACCAATAAGTACCTTGATCAATTCACTGTAAGTTCAATTAACTGTAAATGTTACCAACTTACCATTGGTAATCAATAATTGTTACCTCTGGATCTGAGTAATCATCTTAAGCAGGACCATTAATATGAAAATCCTGATTCCTTAATAGTCTTGCTGCTTCAATTTTGGTAATCCAACAATCTAGAAAAGAAGGCACAAGGTTATCTTATTTAAGCAAAAACAAGTAAATATTTCTTTTTTCCTAGTTGAACAAGTAAATATTTAGATGATAGTGATACTAAAAGTGTTATAAGTTTAATACATTACCGGAATAATATAACTATGATCAAAATGTAGAGTTGTCATCAGGGAGATATCTTGAGGTCTTGATAGATCCTTGTACATCCTATTAAATTATCCAGCTTCTCATAGCCCAGTTGTGCCAATATACGTCAAACTTGGCTAAAAATAAAAATTTAAACGAAGACGTCAACACATCTACAGACGCAAATGAATAGAGAATTTGAGTCGAACTAAGAGGTCCAATTGATTCAAAGAATTATGGGTGGAAAATCAAGTCTTGAACACAAAATAAACTCATGCTTCTAATTTTATCATTTGAGGCACTGTCAAAACTGGAATTACAATTTTACTTTCAATAACAAAGAAATCAGATTTTCTTACAACATAAGGTGGGCCAATTCTTAGCGGTCCACAATAGGATTCAAATATCCTGGTGTCTATGATTCTGTAGATCGTTGTCCCTCTATAACTGAGAGAAAAACAGGAAAAACAGGTCTCCTTTGAACAACAGTATGCTTCTGAGTCAAATCAGGTAACTTTAACACAAATTGAACTGAAATATCAGGGCCAAATCTTGAAGTGGTCAATCTAAAACACGGTTAAACCAACTTGCTCGTTTTCATTGATCCTCCAAGTTCTAGAAAAGTACAAGTTCGACATATTGATTACCTTTCCCACATAGTGGTTAGCTTTTCCTGCCGTGTAAGAAAACAAGCAAATCAATGCCGAACTCCCAGTGAGTCTGAACACATGAAAATAGGTTATGTATTGTTCTTATCAAAGGGGGTGCATTTCAGTAAACAACAACGACAAAGGCAACACTTACCCATTTAATTACCCCCATTGGCAGGTTGGAAATGGGTTACTGACCCATTCATACCCAACCCCCATTCAAAACCTGCCAAAACCCACCCAATTCTCCTGCCACCAGCCACAACCACCACCACCCTCTAACATGGGCACCACCCATGCATCATCAATGTCATTGCATCATGTGAGAGCCAGACTCATAATTGATGGAACAAAATTTGATGGCTTGTGGGATTTGCCAAATCTTCAAAAAACACAACCCAAGGTAATGGCAGCAAGCATGCCAAAACTTGAGAAGAAATTGGTCTTGCATCTATATTATTCTCTATCAACACCACATTCAGCATCCACGGAATTAACACTGTTGATCATATATGGATGATCATTTTAAGGACCCAAAACCTTCAATACAACGGAGACAAATGAGCTCTAGCGTCTCTCACTGCCAAAAATGGGGGTATAACATAAAATATCCCCCTCGAAAATCTCTCATCTCCACCTCACTTTCTCCATACCACCGTCGCTACCGCCATCGCAACCTCTATTTCTCCACCTCGCCCAACCACTGGAAATTGTCCATTAGATTTCAAACAAAACAAATCCTAGAAATTTAACCCAAACAATAAATTTGATTAAAAATATATCTTATAAATCAAAAGAGATGTGGGGCTGCGAAAATTGAAAAAGATAAAAAGAGATCTCACCATGAAATCCTTAGTCTTCGGTTTCTCGAACTTCTCCCCAAGCTCATCCAGCACAATGTTGTTCACTGTCACGCTCGACAACATCTTGAAATCACCAATCTCTCCTCTTTCCAGTTGATCTTGATGTTGGGGCCAAAGACGAGAGATCTCGCGTTTGACGTTGGACATCAAACTAGTTCCGATGATCTTCTTCTTGTTGATGATTATGACGGCGATGTTGTGGCGGCCGGTGATGTTCCTAACGTGGTAGACCTTGGCGAAAGCACCGCAACCGCACCTTTTCGAAAATGCCCTTCACACCTACGTTCCATCTTCTTCGTCTGATCATGCATCCAACTGGGCTCACCACTGTCCTTTGTTGTTATTGCCACCACCAACAAGAGGAGTGTCGCACACCTAATTGGTTCAAATTAGGATATTTAAAATTACACCCTAATTAATAAAATGTGACAAAAATATCCTTTTTAACACTACAATTTTTATTTTATTTTATTTTATTTATTATTATTATTTTTGATATATATGTATAAAGGCATTACTTAGATTCTGACAAGTGAAATGTGAATCAATAATAAATAGACACATTTTATTTTCATTATCAAATTAGAAACATTGTCCTCACACTTAAATTACCAAATCACATTTTATTTTATTTTGATTTAGTAAGTGAGTATTGTCCTATATATATATATATATATATATAAACATCTAAATTCTCCTTATTATTTTTTTCCTTTTTTTAAACACTTAAATTCTTTTCTTTTCTTTTCTTTTATTTTTTTCCTTTTTCTTTTTTTCTCTCCTCACACCAATACACCTGCGGTTCTATATAAATTGAGTATCTATATATACAAATAGCTACATTCCTTTTTTGTATATATACTATATATGATTTCATAATAGAGAAATATTGATTAGCAAAAATTATATGAGATGCTCCTTTAGCTATTTTTTTATTTGTGAATTCATATATAGTATATATATATATATAAAAGAAAGTAGCTATTTGTATATATATATACACATTAGATTTACAAAAAAACTATATACATACATATCTGTTGGAGGAGATGTTCTAATAATATACATATATATATCTCAATCATAAAAAGTCATAGTGAAATTATTTTACAGTTGCCTCTGTATATCTCAAATTCTTAATAGATTAGTGTCTCTATTAATCTAACATTTAACTCTTCTTGTCATGAAAAAAATTATAATTATTTTATTTTTTATTTTTAAATAAATAATTATTAATGAAATATTTTTAAAATAAATGATTGTTAATAAAATAAGTAAACTTATATTCAAATTTCAATGTTTCATAACTAAAATTGAAATACAACCAAAAAAAAGGCCACACCACTCGTGAAGCTTGGCCTAATGATCACATAAATTGTCTATTATTATATCTCAATACATTAAAGACTCATTGTTTAAAAAATTATAGAACGCAATACTAATTACTTTTATGCAAATGATTTATCATCCTAAAATATTTTACACATCATTTTTAAAATATCAAATTTTAACTCTTAAAAAAATATTTTATCACCTATTTATTTAAATAGAAATTAGAATGCCAATAAGCTTTATAGTTGAATTGTAAATTCCTTATCTCAAGATTTTTATATAAACCATTTGCTTATGGAATTATGGCCCAATTTCGACTCAAGCCCGTAGGCACGCGACCAAATAACAAAAAAATTCTCTAATTTTTTAGATGATTCATTTGTGGCACAAATTTTAAGTTAATATAATTAAATTATATTTATCTCTTAAAATAATTAAATTGTTTGGAATGGTGGATAAGATGCCATGCACACAGACACAAAATTAATATCCAAACCACAAATACATACAATAAAATTTTAAACGATAAGAATTAATTAGAAGTTGCAAAAAAAAAAAAAAAAAAAAAAAAAAAATCAAATAGATTTAAAAATAGCAGTAATGATAAGAAATAATATATATGTACGGTACAAAAAATTATATATATGGACGTGTATATAAATGGTTTAAATATAGATAAGACCTTGGGGTCATAGCCGCCTAGGCCAAACCAAGAAAAAAAAAATAAAAATACCCAAAAAGCCTGCTATGATGGTCATATCACATGTTTCGTATTCATTCATCAAAATGGCTTAGGAAAGCATCCAAACCCTAGGCTTTTATTCATTGTGAATCGCAATTAATTCACAGCGATTCTTACCTCAAGGCGACGAGATCTCTGCAGATCTGTTTGGAGAAGGTGACTTCTTTTTTCTTATTAGAATTTGAACGTTCTTCCTTTTTTTTTTTTTTTTTTGAATTTAAATTTTATGAGATTTATTCAAAAATTGATGCTTCGATGATCGATTTTTTAAAAAATTGACGTTTCGGTGGTTGATTTATGAGGTTATTTATTCATTATGGATTATATAATCTAGCTTGTAGTCGTTTGATTGATTGATCAATTTGTTTTATTATCATATTTTCTTTATTTTGAAAATTTTGAGATAGAAAGAGAGAGAGGAGGCATAGAGAGTGTAAACGTGTTGCTTCAACTTGAAGTTCGGAACCATGCCTGTAAAGACAATTGTCGAATAGATATATACATGTATATATGCTTGTAAAAGCAATAGTTGAATAGATTTATGCATATGTATATGCGTATAATGACAACAGCTGATAATATATACGGACACATCTGTACAGAGAGGGGCATAGAGAACTTATTTTTTGTCATAAGGCTTAAATTTGATTTCTATTGGATTTTTTATTTTTTATTTTTTAAGAGGTCGATGTCTATTGGACCCTATATCGTTTGCTTCATTATACCCTGTTCTCTTAGTTCTTTTCTAGATCGTGTTGTCAAACTAAAACAATGCAGAACACTGCATTTAAGTTTTTGAAGATCTCTCTATTTCTCCCTCTCTTACAAACAACTTTGTGCTGTTAATCTTCTTGTATCCTGTTTCTAAAGCTGAATAAGGCTGGAAATTTGTTATTGTAAGCAAGTTTAGAGGTGTATAAAGTGAGAGTCCTGTTGAATTGGGGTTTTTGTTAGACACATGGTTACAACTGGATGCTTGTTTGCCAATCTGGAAACTGGTGTTCACTTTTCTGCACATTCTTTATTCACTTTTTGTTCAGAATCCCATACTTCTTTGTTTCTGGATCTCTCTAGTTATGAAATTCTGCATGAACCCGATGAAAGATATCACATTTGATATCGATTTAAGTTGATGCCTTTAGTGTGCCTAATTATGATTGTATTTGTCAAATTGATTTGCTCATCCCTAACAAGGTTTTTAAGGCTGGTTCTTTTTGCCTAGGATTTGAATCAAAGGAATGAAATAAATAAGAATTAGTATGCATTCATTCTTGTGCAAAATCCCATCTTGTTCACAAGCATAGCTCCTGTCTTAAGTTTGATTTGCATGACCAACACATTGTGATCTTGCATTAGCAAAGGGGTAACTTGTCTGTTTTGTTAGTTAAGTTTGGTTCATAGATTGACTTCTCTTTTCATTAGGGAAATGATGCAAGGGATTTTGGGATCTGTTATTCTTAGTGACTTTACCATGCAAATGGGCAGTGGTAATTCCAGTCTAAATAGTTCCATCTCTGTAGGGGTATGCCACAACAATATGTAACTTTGTTTTTTTTGTTTTGTTTTTTTGATTTTGTTTTGCTGTTTCAAATCTTATTTTATTTGGTTGTAAGTGTTTTTTGGCCGTACTTTAGATTTTCTTTTGCGTGTCTGATTAAGATGTTATGTCAGGCCATTCCTTTGCAGATTAAATGTTGTTTGTTGCTATTGAAGTTGATTTTGGAGTTGAACTTTGTCACGCTTGTTTGATGTATGATGACTATTCTGATGGCTAACACATCGGATGTTTCATCGAGGGAGCGTGTTCAACGTCTTTACAACAAGGTATATGCCTTGCTTTATCCTTTTCTTTTTTTGTTTAAATAAATGATTGTTTACTGAGAGCAATCTATATCATTTTCAAAGTGTTGCAGTTTATATACTCTCTTTGTGCGTGTACTTGCAAATGGGTATGACAATTTATTTTTTCCTCACACATAGAAGGGTAAAAATTTATATACATGCAATGGCGGAGCCAGGACTTTACTGTAGCGGGGGCAGCAACATTGAATGATAACAAAATGAAACTTTTTTGAACCAAAATACGAGTACAAAATTGATACAATCAGTCCATTTATAATTATCCTTAAAAAATTTTAATGTCTTCAAATCGAAAGCGTTCCACGATAGAGAGAGTGCCATTGATATTTTTTCCCCCCTTAAATGTTATGTTATGGTTAAGCATTCAATTTGTCAATTAGGTGCTTGTTCAATTTGTGAAATCATATTTGGATTGCAATTCATTCAGTTATAAGAACTTGAAGGTTGAGCAATGTAGCGTGACAGTTAAGTGTTTTAATTTGTGACGTCTACATTCAGATATGTTGGTGTTGATTAGCATGCCCTAAAAAAATTTGGGACGATTATTTTAGTGTTCATCAAACACTTTTCATAGTAGTTGTGATTTGGTAAGATTTCGAGAAGTGGTTTATATAGAGCAAAGTTACAAGACACAAATTATATAAAGCCAAATTTGAAAAAAGAAAGAAAGAACATAAGCACGAGCCATCAAAACACTAAAGTAGAAAGAAAATAAATTCAACCAATAGAGGGGCACATACATAGTTTTTTTTCTTCAATAAAATGGAAAAGTAAATATAGTTTAATGGGAAAATAAAAAGTAGTGTGAGAATTTCTTCTTCTTCTTCACTCTCTCTCTCCTCTTCTTTCTTTGAAGGGAGGATTAGGGAGGGATTAGGAGATATGCATATTCTATATTTGTTATTTTGCATAGAACATCTTCATTTGTGATAGGGTGATACTCTATTAATTTTGAGTATCACCACTTGCTTTTGTCAATCATGACCCATAGTTAACCTTTGTTTTTCATTACAGAATGTTGAGTTGGAGAATAGGCGTGGAAAAACAGCACAGGCTAGAATTCCCTCGGATCCGAATGCATGGCAACGGATGCGGGAAAACTATGAAGCTATTGTCCTTGAAGATCATGCTTTCTCAGAACAGCACGAAATAGAGTATGCTTTATGGCAATTGCATTACAAACGAATCGAGGAACTGCGTGCACAGCTTAGTGCTGCTATAGCATCATCAGGATCAAGCACATATCAGAATGGAAAAGCTCCTACGCGATCTGGACCTGTTCCAATCACAAAAATACGTTCTCAGTTTAAGACCTTTCTTTCAGAAGCAACTGGGTTTTATCATGATTTGATGGTGAAAATAAGAGGAAAGTATGGTTTGCCACTGAGTTATTTCTCAGATGGTCTGGAGAATCATATTGTTTCGTTTAAAGATGGAAATAAATCTGCCGAGGTCAAGAAAGGCTTGATGTCGTGTCACCGTTGTTTGATTTACTTAGGGGACCTTGCTCGTTATAAAGGGTTATATGGGGAGGGTGAATCCAAAGCTCGGGATTTTGCTGCTGCATCAAGTTACTATGTGCAGGCTTCTTCACTTTGGCCTTCAAGTGGCAATCCTCATCATCAGGTGTTTTCTTTTGATCCATTGTCTATTTCAAAACTAGTTTATGACTTATTTTCTTTTCTTTCCAGACTTGGTTAGCGTACTGTTGTTGTCATGGACTTATCCTCTGTATATTTATTATCAGCTTGCCATACTTGCATCCTATTCGGGAGATGAGCTGGTGGCAGCTTACCGTTATTTTCGAAGTCTGGCTGTTGATAACCCGTTTACTACTGCAAGGGATAACTTGATCATTGCATTTGAAAAGGTAGAAATATTTTATATATACAACTGGTGTGATAGTGTTCATTATCTATTTTTTAATGTCCAAGTCCAATTTTCTTTTTCTTGCCTAAGAACTCTTGAAGTTTATTATGTGATAAAATCTTGGAGTTGGTTAAAAAAAATTGGTTTATAGGTTATGTGCATGGCACTTCAAAACTGGTATGTGCTCACTTTTACATGAGAACATATGGGCTGAGTGCTTTGCCTGGCCAACTTGGAAAAACTGTGTTAGTTGCTCACATGGCAAGTGTTGGTATTTTTTTTCTAACATTGCATTTAAATTTCTACATAATTCTAGTTTGTACAAGTTGACCTATATGGAAAACTCCCAACTTAAGGTTGAAGGCAGGTTTGGGCATAGTAAGTTGGCATCATTCCTGTGTACGCAAACTGATCTATTGAATTTGATGGGGCCTGTGTGCATATGTGTGCTTATGTAGATGCATGCTTGTTCACTTTAATGGCTAGAAAAGATAGCAACCAGGTAACAACAGTTCATCATTCCATAGTTCTGGAAAGTTGAAATACATCAGGCCTTTCTATCCTCTTTACTGCCACCATCACAATTAATTTCCTCCAAAACAAAGCCTATTTGGGGTTTTCCCAAATAATTACCATCCAATTTTCTGCTATCATGGCATAAAAGGTGTGGGAGCTACTGTCAGCTGTTGTTTTCTAAGACACACACACACACACACACACAGAGTGTGATAATTCAGAAGCTTACTCTCTTCACTTGTTTTTGCCAAGTGAAGTTTGAAATGAATTGGTTGGAAATAATTTGAGCAAGGGTTATGTTCGTAAAAACAGTAGAAAAGAAAAGAAAAAGGACCATGCAAGTGTGTGGGTTGCCTTTGAAAGGTGACACTTCGCGGTACCAAGATTCGTCATCGGGTATGGTATTTAACCCTAATTAACTTCTTATGTCAAACTGATTTGGACAAACCATTAAGTTACTAAAGAACACACAAAAACTATCGTTTAGACTGTAATGACTGCTTTATGTAGGTATCCGTTGAACTGTTAGCCCTTGATCCATCAATTTTTTTATTTTTAATTTTGAAGTAAAGATGAACAATTTCACGTTGATTGTGCAGTTTGCCAGCAATTGGTAAAAGTACATGTCATATATCGGGAGAGGTTAAAAGACTGGAGATGTGGGTCTTCAGGAACAGATTTTGGCCAGCAAACTGATGTTTAATACTTTACTGTGAATGAAACATAAATCAGTTTGATTTCTTGTTAAATAGCTTTATATAATTTTTAAGAAGAATATAAATTACAATTTACCTATATTTTTTATTTTTTGGCAGAACCGTCAGAGTTATTCTCAGCTACTTGGAGATTCCAAAACTTCTTCGGTCAAGGCTGAACGTGTGCGGATAACATCGGAAGGAAGAGGAAAGGGTGAAACAAGGCCAAGTCTTGTCAAGGAAAAACCATCCAGTATGCTAGACACTTTCAAAGCCTTTAGCATTCGATTTGTTCGCCTAAATGGCATTCTTTTCACACGCACAAGGTATATTTTCTCATTAATTGAACTGGTTAGTATTAGTATAAGTAGGCACAGTTAAATAATGGAGTAACACTTTTCTATGACTTTCATTTGCCAGTATGGAGACGTTTGGGGAAGTTTTTTCTTTGTCTAAAAGTGATCTGCTTGAGCTTCTTTCATCTGGTCCAGACGAGGAGTACAATTTTGGTTCAGATGCTGCTGATTGTGGGCTTGTGATTATTAGGCTAATTGCCATTCTCATATTCACTGTTCACAATGTGAATAGAGAAACTGAAAATCAGTCATATGCTGAAATTTTACAACGTTCAGTCCTGCTTCAGAATGCTTTTACTGCTATTTTTGAGTTTATGGGCCACATTGTTGAGAGGTGTATCCAGTTGAATGATCCTTCAACAAGCTATTTGTTGCCTGGTATTATGGTTTTCTTGGAGTGGTTAGCCTGTCGTCCAGATATTGCAGTTAGCAGTGATGTGGAGGAGAAACAAGCTAGTGCTAGATCATTTTTTTGGACACATTGCATTTCCTTTTTGAACAAACTCTTGTCAAGTGGGTTCATGTCTATTAATGAGGATGAAGATGAGACATGTTTTTTCAATATGAGCAGGTATGATGAATGTGAAACTGCCAATCGGCTTGCATTGTCTGAGGACTTTGAATTGAGAGGATTCCTGCCCCTTCTTCCTGCACAACTCATTCTTGATTTTTCGAGGAAACATTCTCTCGGAAGTGATGGTAGTAAAAAGGAGAAGAAATATCGTTTTCAGAGGATTATAGCGGCCGGAAAGGCTCTTGCTAATGTAGTTCGGGTTGGGCAACAGGGAGTCTTTTTTGATCTTAAGTTGAAAAGGTTTGCTATCGGTGTTGAGCCTCTAATATCTGATGACTATTTACTCTCTGGTACTCTGGAAATCCCCACAATGAATGGTGTTGGGCAAGAAAATCTTGTAGGGAGTCAAAAGACTCTTGGAGTCTTTCAACCTAAGGCCCAATTGTGCATAGAAGGAGAAGAAGAGGATGAGGAAATTGTCTTCAAGCCATCTTTGACTGAAAAGCATGCCTATGAGATTGCTTCAAAGCTGACTTCTTCTGAGGTCCCTGGCTCCGGGGTTGATGTCTCCAAGGTTGATACGGGAAATCAGTTGGGATCTGTTTCAGCTCCACATGATGGTTTCCTTTTGCAGAATGCGTTAAACACATGTTCAAGGCTACCTACACCTCTTGCTAGCATTACTGCCCAGTATCTAAAACCAATCCAACCAAGTACGTCAAAGTGGCAGGCGGAACAAGAAGGAATTTTTGTGAATGCATTGACTAATTTGAGTTTGCTCGGCAATGGGCTTCCTGTGAAACCTGAGTTGCAAGATCATATAGGAGTTTTGCAGCCTGCCACTGTTTCTGCTCCCTTACCGCAGACTGTTGATCTTGGTACTGGCAGAAAATATCCTGTTCAGGTTCCGGAAATTGTTATACCTTCCAAATACGATTCATTTATGTCTTTAGGAGCCGGTGTTGATAGCCAATCCATGAAGCTGTCATCAGTCATGCCAACAGGTTTGAGAAAGAATCCAGTGAGCCGACCTGGTAGGCACATTGGTCCCCCACCTGGATTTGGCTCAGTTCCTCCCAAACTTGTGGACGAATCCTTGTCTGGTATATCATTGAAGAATGAGAATCGGCCAATGGATGATTATAGCTGGCTAGATGGATATCGGTTTCCATCATCCACACAAGGCATTGGGGTCAACAATTCCATTAATCACTCAGCACAGGCATACCACCCTCCTGGAAAGAGTAACAGCTCAATGGGGATGGTTAGCTTTCCTTTTCCTGGAAAACAAGTTTCATCACTGCCTGTCCAACGGGAAAATCAAAAAGGCTGGCAGGACTTTCAGTTACCTGAGCATCTGAAACAATATCAGGAGCAGCAGCAGCAACTTCAGAAAGGAAATCAACAACCTGTTGCACTGCCTGAGCAGCAGTATCAAGGACAGTCTCTCTGGGATGGCCGTTTCTTTGTGTGAGATGATTTTGGGAGCACAGAAGGTAATATGGTGACTTTTCACTCTTCTGGTTTTATTATTGATAAACCCTTTTCTTTGCTCCTTAGTTGTTTAACTGATGTCATCTGTTACTATATTGGAAAGGACTCAAGTTTGTCACAGGTCTTCCATATTAATTTCTGCCCTAATTAAGTTTTCATCATCCATCTTCTCTATGTAGGTTAACAATCTACCATGGCGAATGACCAGTGGCATGGTGCTACCAGTTCAGCCATCGCCTTTGCAGTGTGGCCAATGTTATTAAGTTTTTGTTGGAGAATGGATGGTCTAGGAGTGTCGCGGGCACCTGCTGTTGGACAGGTCTCTCTCTCTCTCTCAGAATTTTATTTAAAACTAATACTGGCGTCTCACGTCTGAAAGTGCTTTTCTTTTGTTATTTAAGCATCCCAAATCTCTCAATTTTCTTCATTTATTTTTATTGAAATATGTGAAAGCTTGTCTTTTGTCAATCTTTTTTGTTATTTTCAAGCATATAATTATCTATATGATTAAGTTGGTGACACTCCTATTGATTTTATCTAGAATCCTGTTTCTGACAAGCTTGGGTTCAGGTAACTATACACATGCATGTTTGTATGTTAACTAGGATGATAAGGGATGCGGGTCTGGGTTTTATTTGAGAGCCCTGAAATCATCTGAATTGTTAAACTTCTACAGCCAAAATTTTGACTATGCGACAGAGTTAATACATTTGTTCCATTGTGGCCTGAAATTCCTGACCATCCTTATTGTTATGCGGAAACTCAAGTTATGATATTCTTACTAGTATATGCCCTAGAAAAGAAACACCCCCCCATCCCTTTCCCAAAGAAAAAAAAATGAGGAAGATTGTTGAAACATTTAGATATTGAAGGTACCTACGATCCACAAAACATAGTTTTTTTGGGCACGTAAGGCCATGGTATCAAACTGACTGCAATCTTTTTTGTCCGTGAGGATCCCACCAGAGCACCTTCTACTTCTAATAGGCCATCAACTAAATCAGAATCATTCTACATTTAATTTTGCTGAAATGTATTAGATTTTCTTGGCATTATTTTTTTTGTATGAACAACTTTAATGGGCCCATCAACTTCTTTATATGGTGATGTAGGTCAGAATGGCACTTGCACTTTATGGTCCATGCTCTATCTGTTACCGTTATTTTTTGGTTTTACAATATATACTATTATTTTAATAGTCTTTTTTTTTTTTTTTTTTTAAAAATGCAGCTTGTGCCCAGCTTTTCAGGCCGGAAGGATGGAGATCACGAGGTCAATAGGTGTCCGAAACGGGAATTTTCTGAGGGTAAGTGATTTGTCTGGTTGGATGGGTTGGACATATTGTGTATGGAGGAGATATCTTGAATGATGATGGGCGAATATTTGGAGTTGGGTGGAATTAATGAAGAGTAGTAGCTATTCTACTTTATTGATATAAAATCCCTTTCAGAAGGGATTGTAGTACCATGATCAGTGGTTTCTGGCAGTCAGAATGTTTAAGGTAAGGTATGCTGGCAGTTTCTCTCAGCTGCCTTGAAGATCCTGGAAATTGAACTTGGTAATATATAGGAAAAATGTTGGGCTGTTTTTGTGGTTGGAATGTAGAATGTTAGATGGAAATAAGTATGTGTCTATAGTCACATTTGAGTAAATTTTTTTATTTTAAAGTTCGTCACTTTATGGTTTTTAGTCCAGTATTAATGACACTTGTGCTGTTATATATTCCAATTGACGTGCAAAGGTTTTCTTGTGTGATTAATGATGCTAACCTTGTGCGGATTACGCAACTTCCCCCCATTTGTTTGCTTTTCCTAATTAATGCTTGCTTTTGTTCTTAAATGGATTTTGTGTCTGGGTCTGTTGTGGAGTTGATGACAGGCTTCAAATTTGCATCATCTATAGAAATATTTTTTTTATAACAGCTAGCTGATTTCTATCAGGTCTCCCATTGTAGAGCTTTCTGACTGATCTCAAACCAGGAGCCCTTGTGCAAACTTAAATGTTGCATTTCTACCCGATCTCTTGTTCATACCTTACCCCCCACCGCCCTCGTATATGCAGACCCCAAAAATTGCTGGCGGTTGAATCAAAGAAGCCGTGATACTGCAAAACAATCTTAAAGCCTCTTCTGCAGCCCCATTTTTGAACCGTATTTATTTGAGCTGAACTTGTGCAAGGATTCAAGTCCCAAGTAGTTGAGGAAAATGTTTGGTGGTGGTTGTCCTCGGATTGTTGGGCATTGAGTTCAAGTCAGGTCATTATTGCAGTACGCGACAATGAATGTAGGTCCCGACACATTCCAACTCAAATTGGGGTTGGCAAATTTATCAGGCGTCATTCATATCAGGTCAAACAATTTTGCTCACCGTGGGTAAAAAATATCCATTAGATCATGGCAAAATAGTCAAGAGAGAAATAAGCATGTTGATGAATTTGAATATTGGAAATATTTTTATCAGCATAGATAAAGGAGTAGCATATTTTGCTGCTTTTATACGGCAAGTGACATTATAATTGGAGTTGATATTATCATTGTTCGATCTTGATTTTCTCTACCACATTAAGAAAAATCAACATAAGGATATAATTCCTTCTTCATGTGCAGTTTCACATCAATGGGGGTGGATTATTTCTGAAGATAGAAAAATTACATTAAGAAACACTAAAAAGGCTTGATTTAATTTCATTCAGTTATGTACAGTTGTAGCTCACTTCAAAAGCAAAAATTGTCAAAGATCACTATGATCTGAGACAAAAAGAATAGAGCACAAAATGTTGAAGGTCAAAAACAATTATATCCGTTGACCACCTCTTTTATAATTGGAACACACTTGTGTTGGTTCCTCGCACATTCTCACATTCTCTACATCTTTACTACACATTATATAGGATGTAGTAAATATATATATATATATATATATATATATATATATATAAAGCAATGAAATGAATACAGAGAAGGAAGATGAATCCAATACGAGCCTCCAACCAGATCTGTTAATTAATGTACAGAACAAGCTTCTCTGGCAGCTTCAGCTGTCATCAATTCAAGTGTCGTCAGCAAAAATTTTCAATACAAAATCGCGAAAGCGCCTTGAATATAGTTTTGGATCAACAGCAGATATTGAGTTTGGGTCATACTGGATGGACTTGTATGCATGCTCAAGCTTCTTGGTAATGTCGTAATCTTGAAGAATGTCTATGATACCGAAGAACATCACTACATCATAATGCTCCCCGGTTGGTTCTCCTACCAGCTGAAATTCGCAATCAGTCTTTCTTTTAGTCCTTTCAACTCGGGCTGGCATGTTCACGCCCAAACTAACACTGGTCCATCTGCACCATTCATTCATGTATATAATTAAAACTACTCTACACATGGTTTTAATATAAAGGTCTTTAATTGAATTACACACACCCTTGTGTCCTTTTAAGTTAGCAACCCTAATCAACATAATCACAATTATGCTTCCATTTTTCATCTCCACTATTATGATTTTATTTCACCCAATAGAAATACTAAAATACCAAAAAAAACTGAAACAAGCAAAGTTTTAGATACTTCAGAATTGTCAAAGAACCAACTGTAAAAACCAGCTATATGTATGATATTCAAATCAAGACTTTAGCATGCATTTTTAAATCAGAATTCAGCATAAAGATATGATTAATGGAGAGATATTTTACCCTGCCGGTTCTACAAGAAGCTGATCCGTATCTGCTCTGGAAAGATGGGGAACTGATTCAGTATCAGGATCACCATTTTCTGCAGAAAAAAAGGGGGACACAATGGTTCCTTATTGTTTTTTGAGGAAAGAATGAAGCTGAGATTATGCATATAGTGTGGTAATTTATACATGTAATCGAAGACAGCAACTAGTCAGTGGCAAGTCTATGATATCATACCAGAAAACTTATTCAATTTTGTTTTGGTCCATTAAATTTGGACAATGATTTTACCAACATAATTAAGTACTTTACTGATGATCATTGCCCAGAAAAAGAGAAAAAGAAAGAAAAGAAGATAGGATGAGCAATAACCGGATGGAATAAGATCCCCAGCATCTGTTGTCTCTCTAAAGTGAATACCGATCAAAAGGCTATAGTCCATGATTCTTTCCTGTTCGAGAAACTCACAGTCCTTATCAATTTGCCTGTAAAAACATAATGCCTAATTTAAAAAATATCATAAGGAAACTGAAAAAAGATAAATTGGTGCAAATATTAATAAAACTGGTGCATGCTCATTTTGGTTGCTTCTTGTATGTATGATGAAGGAAAGGGAAAAAAAGAAAAGAAAAAAAAAGGGTTATATATCCTAAGCCTACAATCTGTGATTGGCAATATTCTGTAAGATAGATACATTAACACAAAAGGCTCAAATCCAAAATTCACCTTTGGAACTCTTGAAACCAAGGCTTTTGAAGTCGGAAAATGAAGTTGAGATCAAGGTCTTTTAGAATGGTGGTAGCATCAATATCTGCTTCTGGCTTATTCGTCATGCGCCCAAGGGAAGACCCTTTTAAGTCAAATCGTCTATGAATGGTAGTGTTGGTACAAAAAAGATTCCCCATGATGATGAAGCGCACCTAAATCACACCCATGTCAAGTGCTTATAAAACAAGGACTATACATCAAATCTTGTTGCTGATATCTTACCTTCTTGTGGGCAGGTCCATGTAACTTCACACAGTGCAGACCATAAAATTTGGTCACTAGAGTGTTCTCAAAAGATCGAACATGGTTATAATAGGCTGAAAGCATCTTTAAAAGCACCTAAAAATGACTTAAAAATGAGACCAAGCTTGCTAAAAAAGAAGTATTCATTTAAGACACATACATACTACATGGGCAAGAAACTACTAGAGATCTCACTTTTACTTCTGATTTCTTCATTGTCTTTATCATGTAACGGTCGTCATTGGTCAAGTAAAAGAAGCTTCCACTTTTCCCCGGAGAAGAGAGTTCCCGAAGTGCATCATTCCCGCAAATAGATAGCATGTAGTCAGCTGCATCCACCTTGAACAACATCCTTAGAGTCCTAAATAAATAATTATAGTAGATAATTAACAGACAACGATTATTAAGTAAACAATTATCTGGAGATTCAAATGAGTGGTTGCAAGATGGCAATGACAATAAAGTAAAACATACAGATATTTTTTGAAACATGTTGTTGATCTACAATTGAGAATAAAAAAAGGGCAATCTAATACTAGGCCTCACCTGAATACTAATGGGCAATAATCTTTCCATTTAAATTCACAGGATTGGTGGGGTGGAGTGCGTTTGGATCCCTCCGGAGGAAATCTTGTCCATACTTTTTCCTTTGGGTCAAAAGCTGAAGACTTGAGAGTCAGCGATGGAGTTGGACCGGGTCTTCCAACAGAATGCCTGTGCAATCACTCCACATATTTACAGTGATCAGACTCAACAGAAAGCAATTCAAGCCTGGAAAGAATTCGAGCACATTGGCAGAGTTAGAAATATGTAAAATGGCCATGAAAATGATGGGAAAAAATGAGATGAGCTGTTTTGATTGTTTATGCAAATGTCTAGTAGAATTCAGATTGAAAATCACATAAGAAGCAATGGGAGATGAATGGGGATGCAATACTATGCTTAGTACAAGTGAACATCTTTGTTCCAACTATTTGTGTTAGCTGCATTAATATTTGTTTCCTCTTTTTATAGCTTGTTTAATCAATTTCAATAATAAAAAAAACAGAGAAAAAACAGAATGTGAAGGTTTCAAATTGATCTAATGCAGTGCATCCACCCTTTGTAAATGTATTTAATTTGTTTCTCATTAATTCTGTCTTTTTAACTCATATACACCAGTATCCAAAGTAATAGTCATGGAAGCACCTGATTGACTGACTATTTAGATTTGTTATATGGTCGAAAAATGTATTGAAACTAAACATATATCTCAAATTCAATTTTTTTTTTTTGCAATTATGTGTTCTATCATTGTATGTTGGAATAAAGTTTCCTTAATCAACTAGCTCAGGTTCTTGGCGTTATACAGAATCGTGTTACCATATCAGAATCGACAGAGAAACTATAGCAAATGATAGAATTCCGGTAAACCAGTTATAAAAAAAGGAATTGCAAGAGTAAATCATGAAGAAACAGCTGAAAAGACAAAGAAAGTAGGAGATAATAATGAAGTGGATTATACCTGATTCCCAGCTGTAAATTGAGCATTAACTCATAATTCTTATGCCCTTTACATATTGTCTCTCCTTGTCTCTTCCCCACCTTGGGTATCTTAATTGGACTCCCTCTTGCACTCACATCCGAATCTGTTCCTGACACCGGGTTCCTATCACCGGAATCATCGACAACAGCAGCACCATTGGATGATGATGATCTCCAAACTGGAAGCTTCTTTTCTGACGGAAATAACGAGATATTGTCACAAGGACACACTTTACACTCACTCAGATCATTGTCAAACACCTGTTGAGGATCCCATTCAAGATTTGCCTCTGATGGGTAACAAGTCCCATTTCGGTCATTTGGATCTTTACTCCAATTACCCTCATAAAAACTCCCATCAGACCATCTGAATATTCCATTCCCTTTAGGTAAACCATCTTCCCAACACCCATCATACACATTCCCATTGTTCCAACACAATTTCCCATTCCCACAAATCACTCCATTCTTCCATTCACCCACATAATGATTCCCATTCTTCCATTCATACTTTCCATTCCCTTCTGGTAAACCATTACACCATTCCCCATCAAAACAATCACCATTCCCATAATCCTCAACCCCATGACCTTGCTTCAAGTTCATTACCCAAACACCCTTATATGTATTACCCCCTGTATACAACACACCTTTTCCATCCATATAACCGTTGCTTTTGAATTCACCTTCATAGGTGGCCCCACATGGCCAGCTGAATTTACCTTTACCAACAATTTTGCCTCTAAACCACTCTCCTATGTAGGTATACCCATCCGACCACGAGTACTTTCCATGTCCGTGTGGACAATGCTCAAACCACTGCCCTGTGTAGTGATCACCGTTGGAGAAAACTGTGTCTACTTCGCATGTTTCGTTTGAATGACAAGTTGTTGTTTCATCCTCGTCGTCCTCCTCCTCGTCATCAACATGTGCTACCAACGTTGTCCCGAAAATGCTGTTGCCTCGCTTCTTTGTCGTGGCTTGATTCTTGCGAAATGTGGAGTCCCAGGCCTTCATGAATCTCAAGTTTTTTTTTACAAATATTCTTCTTCTTCTTTTGGTTTCTTCAGATTTGTAAGTTGGTTTCAAATTTTCTTTTAAACATCAACCCAGATCAGATCAATTCACTCTCTGTTTCGTGGAAATCATCAATACCCAGATGAAAATACCGAGTCAAATCGCCATTTTCGACAATGCAACTTTGAACATCTGTGTGTGTGTGTCTCTCTCTGGCCTGTAATTAATTTTGTTTGTTCATTTTAATAGGGGAGTGCACAGGAAATCCATGTAATCAAGGTAAAAGGGGGACACCTGTTAATGGTTGTGTTTAATCTGTCACAAACATATAGATACAGTACACAAACACACACATATAGATACATACATACATACATATATATATATATATATATATTTATATTTTCCTCATATAATTAATGAATTTGTGGGCGTTAATTATGTGACAGGAGAAATACATAGGAGAATTTCACGTACATGCACTTTTGTCAGAAAATAAAATTTAAAAAGTAGAAATAATTTGTGTTCTGACATTTTCTTCCTCTCTTTGTGGTTGAGAAGTGGACTTATTCATCTTCTTACAGCCGCTAAAACCGCGGGGCACTTGGCAGACACTCCCTTACATTTGGAGGGTTGAGGCTGACCAAGCTCTACATGGAATTACTTAATTATAAAAAAAATTAGTTTCATTGTATCAGTAGAGAGAGGAATGTCTCTTCAATATTATATTATATTATATTAATTTTGTTAGTAAAATAATTTCCTTAAAACAAACAGCCATCAATATTCATTGTATTATTATTATTATTTTACAAAAAATTGTACTACTCGAGCTGTTATTTTATTTTATTTTTTAAAAGCTAAGTAAATTGTATTCAAAGAGGAATGTACAGGCCCAAGAGGGCAATTACAGGTCTCAAAATCACGAGAATGAGATACTGACCAAAACATACAGTCCAAAAAAAAAAAAACACTAGCGGATTAATCCATGATGAAAGATTATGAGACAAGAAGATAATTAATGTATTACATATGTAAGTTTTGAGCAAACTAATCAATCCACGTACTCAAATTTTCTTGCTTTAGATACTATCCAAGTAATTCTTTGTTTGATACTGGATAGATGGTCAAGCATTTGGCTTTTTTCCAAAGAGTAATACCTTGGTTAAACAAGAAATCATTAGTCGTTGAGGAATAATGTTTGTGATGCAATTTTTACCATCCAAAAGAATTAGGGTATATTACACCGATCTCTTCTTGATGTCAGAAATATTATATGTGAGTAGATTCTTTAGCATTTATTACTTTTATCTTCCCTAAACTCATTGGTTGATGGCTGAAAAGTGACTTTTTAACATAGAAAAGTTAGTAATATTCTTATATTATAATAAACCAGTGTTTAACTTTTTTTTCTCCAAATTTCATTTTCTCCTTTTTGATGATGGATCACACCCCCCCCCCCCCCCCCAATCCCATCTTAAAAGTTTGGAAGATCTTGATATATATTACATTTTATACAAAGAAAGGATAAAATTATTAATTTATAAAATTTGTTCAAATGGATCTATCCAAAAGGAAATGTTAAAGAGTATCATTGAGTACACACCAAATTTTAGGAGAGGTCAAAGTAATAAATCTTGAATTTTATTTAGGAGAGGTCAAAGTAATAAATCTTGAATTTTATTCATGTGTAATTTGCCCAATCAGGAAGGTCAGTATACTAAATTGCAACAATTAGTTTACTTTTTCAAATCCTTAAATATATATTTTTTCACCTGTCAGCGAGCTCACCAACTAAGCCACGGGTAAAATATAGTGTCACTTTGATGCTAATCATTGACATGAACAAACTTTGTTCATTCGATCTTCCATACATTTTTATACTTTAGTTATTAAATCATTTGTTTTGTTTTTGGGATAACCCAAAGTCGGAGAGACTAAACCAGTGAAAGGTAATTAATTAAAGAATAATTCAAACATAATAATTAACAAATTAAAAACAACAGTAGGTAGATAAAAAAGAATTACAGTACGTATACAATTCAATTCAATTCAATTATAGAAGTACATATATATATATATATATAAGAATGAAGATGTTGGATTATTATATCTTGTTGAGCTTGGCAAGAAGGAAAACAGTGGCAGAAGTGACAAAGGGAATGAAGAATTCATTAGGAGGGGCTTTGGGGAAGACCCAATTTTTGATCCAAAGTGCAGTTACTGGAACTCCAAAGGTGTAAAGCAATAGATCCTTAGCTCCTGAACCTGTAACTCTGGACTCAACAATCACATCCAGCACGATTTTCTGAAATTCCTCCTCACTCGATGGAGAGGCGTACAGTTTCTGCAATTTAATCCATCACACATATATTAATTAACACATCCATCCCTTCTCATTCTCAACCTACCTACCTTTAATCAATTATATATATATATTTTCCATGCATATATATATAATGCAATCATCCCCCTCAAAATTCCTATTTGACCAGTAATACAAATGAATGCGCGAGATGATGATGATGATGATGATGATGATGAGGAAGACGAGGATTGCCAAATTAAGGATGAGTTTGTGTATGCTCACTTTAAATACTTCCTCAACTTTGTTGGTCTCTGCTACACGATACATCGTGTACGTGGTACCGAGGTTTTTATTAATGTCTCTGTCAACATACATGATGGAAATTAATCATCAACAGAAACAAGCTAGTATCAGTATTAATTTTCTTAATTGCAAAGAAAATTAAAAGTATTAGAAGGTGAAAGAAATTTAGTTAAAGCTAACACTGACTCGACCGTCTCGCATACTGCATAGTAGAAGTCAGCTGAGCTCCAATCCTTCTTGTTGGCTAAGTATGTTTGGTGGAAACGGTCAATACCATCCTTCTTTTCCTGATCATCACTTCCTGCAAAAGGAAAAAAAAAAAAAAACATTGGAACTCCAAAGATATTGTAAAGCAATAGATCCTCCAGGATTTCCTAAACCTGTAAATCCTGGCTCAAGAATGATCACATCCTCCATGATTTTCTGAAATTCCTCCCTCAATGGAGCGGCTTTCTGCAATTAAATCCATCACACATATATTAATTAACACATCCACCTTCTCATTCTCAACCTACCTACCTTTAATCATGCATATATATATATATATATATATAATGCAATCAATATCCCCTCGATCAAAATTCCTATTTGACAAGTAATACAAATTAATGCGCGAGATGATGATGATGAGGAAGAGGAGGATTGCCAAATTAAGGATGAGTTTATGTATGCTCACTTCAAATACTTCCTTAAGTTTGTTGGTCTCTGGTACACGAAACTGTGTGGTACCTAGCTTTTTGTTAATTTTTCTGTGAACATATATGACGGAAATAAATCATTAACAGAAACAATCTAGTATCAGTATTAATTTTCTTAATTGCAAAGAAAATTAAAAGTATTAGAAGGTGAAAGAAATTTAATTAAAGCTAGCACTGACTCCACCGTCTGGCATACTGCATGGTAGAAGTCATCTGAGCGCCAATCCTTCTTGTTGGCAAAGTATTTTTGGTAGCAGAGGTCAATGGTGGGACCAATCTCCTTAGCCTTCTTTTCCTCACTTCCTGCAAAATGAAAAAGGAAAAATAAAAAAATTGAGTTAGTTTCTCCATTTGATCGACCAAATTATTTGCAATCTCTAATATCCTATGAGTTACAGTATATATATATATGAGCTACCAGGAGCTAGTTTGTTCAATGATTGGCCCATCAATCTTCTCCTTTATTGGAAATCAAGGTTGTAACAATAGTTGATTGTGGTGGCTAGCTACCACAAAGGAAATATTCTGATGCATATTTATTATGGTGAATACGAGGCGGCTTGTCTGGACGGAAGAGCATATTGCGTTTCCTTTGCTTGGTGCAAAGTTTTTCTATCAAAAGACCTTTTGATGCTTAAGTAAGGAATTCAATTCCATTTTTTTCCCGCGAATAAAGAACATGTAACATACTTGTGCAATTGAATGATAACAAAAAAAATTTGGTTGCGGTACCCACGCAATCACAATGCATTTTTAAGAAAAAACAGAAAGAAGGTGATGGGTATATTTAGTTGGGTGAGTTTACTAATGACATGTGGATGGTATATTTAATATTACTCCTCCATTAGAATGTATATTTTTATTACGGTACCTATAGGCAATGACAATGCATTATTTAAAAAAATAAAAAATAAAATTTGATGTTATATTTAATTGGGTGAGTTTAGTAATGACATGGTGTGTAGGATATACTAAAACACTTTTAAAGTATTCCTTATTTGAAAAAGTGTGCAAAAAATATCTCTAATCTTTTCACATTGTGCAAAAATATTCCTCCATCAGAAATCTGACATAAATTAGTACTGTAATACCCGTTTTGCCCTTTTACTTTTTCGAAAATACCCAAGGATATATATATTACTAATCTCATAATATTTATTTATTTATTTTTCAAGTAACATCTGAACAAATCTAGTTGTACATAATATTCTAAGCAAAATATAATTTGATGGCAACCCTTCCTCCCTCCCTCGATCTATATATATATTTTCTTTCTAAATATAGAAAGAAAGAAAACAGCTTCTCCATCATTCAATCAATTATTGGGGTGTCAGAAGTTAAGAATATGTTGAGAATTAGTGTTGGCAGGGATATATGATCGATCACCTGGATTTTTTTTGGTGAACATCCTACGCACTCTGTTTTTACGTTCGCATATATTAACTTTTCTTTCTCTTCACGGGACACATTTTACTTCCTGAATGTTCTAAACTTACTCTTCGTTTGTTATTCCATGTAAAATATTGTTTTCAAAAACATATTCATCGGCGCCGCCTACACCTCTCTTATCTTATTGATCAGCTGGGATAAATTATTTTTTTTCTTAGAAGATTGGCTGAGATAAATCATTGATTGTAAATTATCAATAACAGAACATTTCGGTGAGATCGCGTAGGTTATCATATGAAGAGCAACAATACGCATGGAGTTTAAATAAAGAAAATGTTATAATAGTACATTCATTTTTTACGTGAAGAAACAAATTGTCATTAATTTTGACCGGAGAGTTGAAACAATTTTGGCACAGATTTAATCTATGAGCAATAAAAATATGCCTAAGAGAGTGTTGGAAGATTTAACCCATACATTAATTCCCTCCATCTTACTTCAATCAATCATATAAATTTCATCTATTTAATTATATTACACTTTATTTTTCTTATTACAACACTTCCTCTCCCTTCATCTTATATTAGTTATTTATTTTTTTTATTTATAACTTATTAAGGAAATGTGTATTTAATGCATTGTCTCTTTTTAAATTACTAAATTATTTTATTAAATTTTAAATATATAAAATGTCAAATTGAATTTTTTTTTTTTTAAATGTTAAAATGATAGTTATAGAATGACACTAGTATTTATTTCGTTTCACATTTTAAATTAGAGAGGCCATACGTTTCGATAATTGATTGGATGCTCAAATCAGTGGACAATTGATAAAAGAGTCGGTTCCACTTGCATCTTATAGGCGCGTGTGGATGTCCATTCATGTTTTAATGGCCACATTATACTACAAGTCTATGAGTAAAGCCTAGTGGGTTCTAGGGATGGCAACGGGGGTGGGTTTGGGCGGGTATACCCTCCCCCGTCCCCGTAACCATTTAAAAACTCCGCCCCCATTCCCGCCCAAACTTTCCACCTCATTCCCGCAACCGTTTAACATTTTTACCCCTACAGGTACCTGCCCCGCCCCGTTTAAGACCATAATTTATTTATTATTGAAATAGATTTGCTCCTTTTTTTTTTTTTTTCATCTTCAGTCCTTCACCATTACAACTTCCCTTCTAATCAAATTTATTTGTTACTTTAATATTGTTATATAGGGTACTTAATATATATACTGAGAAATATATACTAATGAAATAAGGGTACTTAAGTAATTTGTCTATCTAAACGGGGCAGGATGGGGTGGAACGACTTCCCCCCACTCCCGCACCAAACCCGCGTGGGTTTTTAATACGTCAAACCATCCTCGCCCAAATAAGCTAAACGGTCCCCAAAACAGTCAAAAACAGGGCGGGGCGGGGCGGGGCGGGGCGGGTCAAATTGCGATCCCTAGTGGGTTCTCTTGCCATCCTAATCTCCAATTTGGGCAAAAATCGTCTCCAGACACCCTTTCACTGGAGGGTGTCCATTGTTGTCATGGAAGCCAGAAAACAGGTGACATGGCAGGGGTAAAAATAGTATTTACTCTTCTTATGTATATTTATGTATATAATCTATGTGTTTGCATATATATGTATATAATATATATATCTATACATTGTCTTCCACTTCCTCGCCGCCCACCGCCGTGCTGACCTTTGCTGCACCATCCTCACAACCTTCCCTTACATCACAGAAACCCATTTTCTCTATCCTTCAAAGCTTAGATCATTCAAGAGAGAAAAGGTATGTGGGTCAGATGACGGCGAGAAGAACCCAGATGATATAGGAGCTAGAGTTGCCGGCGTCGAAGACAAGATCCCCAGATTCTGAGAGGATCCTCGGCTGAGATCGGGTCGGCGATGAAGTGGAGGCCGACGATGTGGGTAGGCGATGAAGTCAATCAGCGACGTGAAGATGATCCCTCTGGTGACTCCGACCCCTGAGTTTGGCGACAATAGGGATGTCGCCGTTGAAGACGAAGACAGTGGTTGTGTCGATGGTGGAGTTCGGCGATGCTGGAGTTGACAAAGGTAACAGATCCGGCAGGCTGCAACGGCGACGGATCCGGCGGAGATCACTGGTTCGGCCGGCTATGATGATCCCTGGAACCTACGAAAATGGAGATAGCGGTTGAGACAGATCCGGCCAGCTCTCCTTCAATTCATCCTCATCTTCACAACAGCTCCGAAACTCTTCTTCATCTCCTTCTAATTTCACTTCCCTAGCCAATTTCGCAGAAAAACCAACACCAAAAATTGTTTGTTCCTCCATTCCCAACACCAACTTCCTCAGCCACAATTACTCTGTAACTAGAACACTTCAAGGTGTGATTGATATCTAGCAAAACCCATCAACAAAAACAATCCAAAACTAAAAAAACTACCATCTTTTTCTCAAAGTCACAACAACAAATATTTTTTTCAACAGCTCAGCTCTTATTTCTGAATCAAAATCTAAGCAAAACCCATCAACAAAACAGTCTAGAAATCCAACTTTAGCCTGTGTATCTAAGAAAATCGCTAATTCCACTATCAAATAATGATTTTTTGGCTTCTTTTAGTTGTTTATTTATTTATTTATTATTATGTCAATAATCTGTGAAATACAAATCAACGAGTAGATCTAAAATTCCAAATGATTTCCAGCTACACCTTACAATCTAAATTAGGAACTGCACAAACCAAAAACATAAATTACAGGGTCTTCGTAGCTCAACCTTAAGAAATATGATTCTGGGTTCTTTATTTGAGATCGCCGTTGGCAGCTCACCGGATTCAGACCTGCGTGTAATTTATATATATATGTGTCTGTGTATATATGTATCTGTGTGTATATGACGATGGAGTAAGGGTAGATAGAGAGAGAGGAGAGAAGCAAGGATGATACCAGAGTTCCTGAGAGAGAGAATGGACGGTGGTGATCCCGGCCGTTGCGGTGGTAGTGGAGGAGGACCGGTGGTGAGGATGGTTTTGGTATATTGTATTCGTATATGGTAACTATGTATGTATATTATTTGTAATATTCGTACATGGTAAAAAAAATAAGGTTTAAAAGTTATTGCTGACTTGGCGCTTCGTCAAGCAATGACATGGCAAAATTGGTTGACATGGCTTCATCCCAGCCACTGGATCCTCAATGGACCCTCTCCGGTGAGAGGTGCCCAGGAGACGATTTTTGCCCCTCCAATTTCCTTCCATTCGTAGCCACTCGGCACCGCCAAAAAATCTCAAACAAACAGCTTTCCGCCCCTAATTAAATTTAGACACACACATTCTCTCTCTCTCTATATATAGATATACGTATATGTATATATGCATTGGCTTTTCATTATTAGGATGGCAAGAGAACCCACTAGGCTTTACTCGTAGTATAACGTGGCCATTAAATTACGTTTGTGACTTAGTGTATTGATGGCGGATGCAAGCTCTTACACCTGACTGAGATGAGACTTCCTTGTGGTGGTGATAACTTCAGTATTTAAGCTCCTCGTTGGATAGGGTCACTCAAAAAGAATGTTAGGTGTTCATCATTTTTATTTTTTTCCTTGCGGGGAGGCGACTGATTCTTATACAATTACGGCATCACCAGTTTTTGAAGCCCTCCGATGGGCATCTAATATCAGTAATAAAAGTAACATAGATTTGGAGACAAAAACTCCACTGCTTTCTGAAAATAAAAAGATCTATCAAAGAAAAGACTTGGACAGGATCTTAAGAATGCAGTCATCATGGTCGGAGAAGGCTTCATTGACTGAGAAACTCACTAGAGAACTCCTGATGGTAAAATATATGTTTCATATGACATTTAAGATATAACAAACCTTATACTAATATGTCATGAGATAATTAACAATATGTTAAGAAATCATTAATTAAATATACAACTCTACATTTAATTAAATATGCAAAATAAATTAATGAAATAATAATTATAAATAAAGAACCTGGACCGAGGCTAGTATTGGATATTATGTCTTTAAGACAGATTCGCCCCGCTATGGTGCTAACGGACTCAGTGACGTCTATCTCTCAGGATACAACGGTCTACATCCACCAGTAGCAGCACTACAAACTCGTGGATACGACGAACCTTCTCCG